GGCCCACAAAGCCTAAAATACTTACTATCTGGTCCTTTACAGAAAAAGTTTGCTGATATCTGACTTACATGAAATAGAAAAATTTGTTCAAAAGGTACAAGCTACCAAAATTCACTCAAAAACAGATAACTTGAAGAGCCTGATATCCATTAAAGAAACTGAATTATTAGTTAAAAACCTTCCCAAAATAAAACATTAAGTCCAGATGGCTTCATTGGGGAATTCTGCCCAACTCTCAGGAGGAAATAATGCCAAATCTATGTAAATGCTTCCATAAAAGTTGAAGCGAGAATGCTGAACCACTCATTCTACAAGACCTGCGTTATTCTGACACCAAAATCAAAGACATTATAAAACAAACAAAAAGAAAACAACTAACCTATTCCTCAGGATTACAGATGCAAAAATAGTTAACAAAACTTTAGCAATTACATTTAACAATATATAGAAAGAATAATGCATTGTGACTATGTGGGGTTTACCCATGGATGCAAGGTTGGTTTAAAATTTGAAAGTCAAATAATGTAATGCACCATATTAACAGACAATAAAAGAAAAATGTGATCATCTCAGTGGATACAGGTGACATAACCATCCATGTACAAAATCCTGTGAAAGCTTTAAAAACAACTAAAACTAATAAATGCGTTTAGCATGATTTTATGATATACTTGTAAGATCAATATACAAAATTAAAAGTGTTTCTATAAAATTGCAGTGAATAACTGGAAACTGAAAAAAATGACTTGAAATAGCATCAACATATGAAACGGATAAATATGACAAAAATATACAAGAGTTTTAGATAAAGCATCAAAAGCACAATCCATAGAAGAAAAACTTGCTAAATTGGACGTCATCAAAATTAAAAATGTCTGCTCTTTGTATGCCTGTTAAGAGAATGAAAAGGCAAGCTACATTCTGGGAGAAGATAATTGCAAATCTCTTATATAATGAGGGACTTGTATCAAAAATGTATAGGGAGCTTTTTCTCCATCCATCAAGACTGCTTCCTGGCAATTATGGTCAGTTTGGCTCAAATAAACTCATATAAGCTTTAAAAAGAAAATGTATAAAAAATTCTTAAACTCAATAACAAGAAAATAAGCTATCCAATTTTAAAAAAAGAGCAAACAGTTTGAAGAGACCCTTCGCCATAGATATGTAGATATCAAACACACACACAAAAATGCTTAGTATCCTTAGGCTAGAGAAATGTAAATTACTGCCACAATGAGATACCTCACTACATAACTATTGGAATGTTTAAAATTAAAGACAAACCAAGCCAAGTCACAGCAAGGATGTAGAGCAACTGAAGTCAGGTGTAAGATGGTACTTTAGAAAATAGTTTGGCATCTTCAAAAAAATTACCCATATATCTAATATAGCCCAGTTATTTTACTGCTAAGTATTTAGCCAAGAAATGAAATCATATGTTTATTGGAAGACTTTTACAAGAAATATTCAAAACAGCCATATTCCCAGTTTTTGTAGTAACCCAAAACTGGAAACAACCCAAATTTGCATCAATAGGTGAATGGATAAGTTATTACATACAATTGTTTTGCTATAATGAATGATCCACTGATACAATGCAATACTATTTGGCAATAAAAAGGAAGTAGGTTCTTAATATAAGCAACAATCTGGAGAATGAAAGAAACCAGACAATACTGAATGATTCCATTTATACAAAACTAAAAAAAAATACAAATTATATATGAGGAAAAGCAGAACAGTGGTAGCTAGGTGATGGGGGCAGGGACAAAGGAGGAATTACAAAGGGGCAGGAGGAAACTTTTGAAGAGGATGGGTGTCTATCTTGTCTTGATGATGATGGTTTCACAAGTCAAAATTTATCAAATTGTACACTTTAAGTATGTGCTACTTACTGTATGCCAATTACTTCACAATATAGATGTTTAAAAAGCCCCCCTCTCCAAAAAATTTCTTTTAAAATAGAATCAAATGCAAATGCCAGCTCTAGCAAACACAGACTGTAGGAAAATGAGATAACTATACTATTTGCCTAAAACTCTGGTAATAGCATTACCCCTCCCATCTTTTCCTTATGAAATTTAGGCTACAGGATGGAATAAACATAGCCCCAGAAAAAAACCCAAGATTCTGGGTCTTCTGCAATGAGGAAGAGGAGTTGCTTAAGGTTCCAGGCACTCCTTTGAGTGTCCCATGTCACACTCCATTAGGTTTCCACCAAAATCTGCATTTTCCTTCCCTTGAAATTTGATTGTACATAATTACATGTAGCTAGACATTTTTACAGCCTTCCTTGTAGTTAGGTTGGGCCATATGGCTATTCTCAGCAACAGAAAATGAGCAGAAATTATGAATCCTATATATGAACTAACGGTTTTAAGAAGTAAACTATCTTGCTAGTTTCCTTTAACCTTCTGCTGTCCTGATGTTGATGACAATACTATTCTAGGGGATGGCAGAGCCAGATGGAAGAAAGTTTGGTCCATGAATCCCACATGAAACAGTGTCACCCAGCCACTCATGTTACACTCATGTTAGATTTTTACATAAAAATGTTCTTTATTATTCAATCTATTATGTTTTTGGATTTATTTTTCCTAGCAATTTAGCCTACTGATCACACCAAAAATGTCAAGGCGAGTAGGCCTTTGCCCAGACCCCCCCCAGGAAAAAGCTAGGGCTGCAAACTCATTCCACGCATCCCAATAACTGCCCCCAAATCTCACCTACAGAATCCCAGCAAGAGCTTTGATTTCCCTATTATGTAAGGTCATTCACTGGATACCTCCATAGGGAGAGGACAGCTGGGCTTGCTCCTTTAGCCTAGACCTTCCTTCATGGGAAAGTAAGTGGGAAAGGGGCAATTAAATTACTCACATATTCTTTTAGCATCATCTCTCATTCCCCAACTTCTACCAGCTTTTTGCTCTATCTCTTTTCATATTTCTTCCATTCGAAATCCAGATCAGGATGAAGAGGGTACACTTGGCCTCCGGTCTCCCAGAAATTTGACCTTCCAAATGAAACCCTACTCTAGAGCAAACCATGACTGCTCTTTAACTGTAACCTATACATCTCACCACAGACCCTAGAGCTGAGCCCTGATGATAAACTAGTATTTCCTCAAACCATGAAGGAACTTTGAATGTCCAAGAAACTAAGGGCTAAAGATGAACCAAAAGAGGCAGAGTCATATTCTCTGGCCATGACCCCTTTCTATGATCTTCCAAATTATAAATTTCTAGATACATTCAGATCCTCTTCTCACTGCTGTTACCGTCTATAAAAATTACTCAGAGGGGTAGGGGGGTCCATGTAAAGATGACACCAGTCTTATACTAGGGCCCTCTTAGGGATAGAAATTGCATTACAGGAAGAGCTGTTCAACAGAAATGTAATGTGAGCCACATGTGTAATTTAAAATTTTCTAGTATCAAAAAAGTAAAATGAAACAGGTGAAGTTAATGTTATCCTATTTAATGCAATATATCCAAAATATTATCATTGTACTCTACAACATAAAAGTTTTCAATAAGATATTTAACATTATTTTTTGTACTAAGTCTTCAACATTTGGTATGGATTTTACATTTACAGCATATATCCATTCAGACTGGTAACATCTGAATTGCTCAGTAGACACTGGTGGCTCTTGGCTATGATGTTAAACAGCCAGCTCTAGTCAACTCTTTGATTTGTTTCCATTCTCACATCCACTTCATAATTTCTTTTATAGTTGGCTCAAAAAGCATATAGCACTTCTCTACCAAAGTCACAGCTGCTCACTCACTAGCTGTTCATGTTTGACCATAAAAAAAAGTGAATGTGGGGCCGGCTGAGTGGCGCGATGGTTAAGAACTGGCTTGGGACGCCAGAGGGCCCCAGTTCGGATCCCACATATGAGGGCCAGTGACACTGCCGTCTACAGCTAAGATGCTGAACAACAGCTCAACCTGGAGCTGGGCTGCCCTGAGTTGCCAGCGACGGCGTAGGCTGCAGCCCCTGTGGCAGTGGGTTGCCATGGGCTACCGTATGTAGCCAGCAGCCAGCGTGAGCGGCCATCCAGAAGCCGGCGACTGATCTGCCTCGTCCGGGAAGAGCGCAATGATGGTGCCAACTTGGGCCAGTGAAGCAATGTCCTCCACAACTAGACTGAAAAACAAGACGACAGCAACTTGTCTGTTCCCATCCCCCCAATTTCCCAATAAAAAATCTTAAAAAAAAAAAAAGTGAATGTGGAGAAACTAAAAGAAATCATTCTCTTCCTGAAAAAAAAATCTGTATTGGATTGATCATTTCCCTCTTTTCCCCTTTTTGCTTCAATGCATTTGGAAGATGTTTTAATTTTTCAATTACTATCCTTAAATTTGTAAGACCCATGAGGGTTGTAGTGAAAACTGAAGTTAGAATCTCTTTCTTTAATTTGACTTTAAAGCCACCAAAGTTAACATTATAATGGGTTGTAGCACTCAATCCTATATATACTTACACAAAAATACAGCCATTTCTTTGCTTATTTATTGCATTTTATGAATCCTGATGATGTTATAAGAATGTGAAATTATAGTTCAATTTCTTTCATGAACAGATAAAAACAAAACCTAAACCATGTATGAGCAAAAACAAATGCAGTATTGTAAATAAGGAATAGTGACTTATTCCAGGAATTTGTGTTAGATTTAAGTTAAAACAAATCAATGTACTCCAATAATAGAATAAAAATGACACACGATTATTTCAGTAATTAAAGAGACATTATCTGTTGAAATTCAATTTTCCATTCAGTACAAAAACTTATCGCAAATTAAAAGATGAGAACTTCCTCAATTTGATCCCATGCATTGGCAAAAAAAAAAAAATCTCCATCAAATACCATGCTTGATGATAAAACGTTGAAAGCTACCCTACCACTCGTCACGAGATCTGAAATTACTTCATCAAGGATGTTCACTGTCACCACTGGATGCATTCTAGCACTGAATAAACGTTCAAAAGAAAAGGAGAATGCAGAAAATAGGTCAGAAAGGAGACTGAGGTGCAGATGAGGCTCAAAGGACACTGCTCAGATATGGTTGGGGACAGCAGAATGTTCAAGAGCTTGGGCGACGCAAGGTCATCGGGACTACACAGTTGCAAGGATTAAAATATGGACAAAGAGTGGTAGGAAAGTAATATTTAGTGAAGGTGTAGATGGGTAAGCCATGGTTCGTGACATTGAAAAAGGAGACAGTGCCAGCCTCATAGTCTAAGAAAACCCCAACACGGCGAGGGGGCACCGTCATGGAGAGGAGCAGGGAACTAGAAGAATCCTCATAGGCTCTATATTCATGTTTATGCCGTAACCCAATCACCCAGTACCCACTTTGAGGTTGATATCTGGAGTAAACATTCCGATTGTTTGCAAACTGGTTGAAAGAGAATGAAGGTCCCACTGCATCACTGCACACCCCCAGGATCCAGTCAGTCTTCTTGGCCACATCTACCTCCCAGTAGTGTTTTCCTGAGGAGAAGTGCTGAGAGCCCAGGATTCCACAGTCATAATGCTCTTCCAGATGAGACTCAGACAGCTTGGTGCCTACAAATCTCACCTGTCTTCGGTTTTTAGACAGGACAAGGTTTAAATTAGCTGTTTGTGGATTCAGAGTCACGTCCACTGTAGGAAAAGGGACAACATCAGCAGATGAGGATGGGTGCATAGGTCTTATGACACTGAGAAGAGGAAACACAGTGGGTGGGAGGAATTGGAACTATGTGATAGAGAGATGGGTAGAATTATCACCACCTCTTACCTAAGAGTGTGCGGGGGTCTATTGGGGGTGGGGAGTGGGAAGCATGTGAAAAAGGATCAGAACATGTTGGCTTAAAAGGCCATGGTTTCTACTTACCCCAATAGCTTTGGACATCTGTCAGCTCTGTAATGATAAAGAGTCAATCTTATTGTAGAGAATCAAGTCTCAGGTGTGATGTTTCTCCTGTTACCTGACTGAGGGGGTGTGGCAGGGAATTCTGTGAGGATGTATGTAATACATATGAACTGCATCTTCTTCACACATTAGGTCCCTCCCTCTCTGATCTTCTCTTCACCACTATTCCCAAATACCAACTCTACCCTCTATTCTGTTTATTTCTTACTACTACAATAACCCCACATCCAAATTCTGTCGCTTCAGTCCCTCACCTCTGAACACTCGCAGCATCTTTTTCAGATCTGGGGCTCGAAACACACTCTTCAGCTTGGTGGGGAGAGCTTGTGGCTTCTTCAGGGTCCAGAGCTCACTCCTAGAGAACAGACATTATGAATCTCCTACACGGCTGGCCTTGGGTTCTTCCAACACTGCTGTCTTTCATCTCCCAGGCTCACAGGTGAAGCACAGTACACTTCCCTGAAGAAAACCAGCACCATTCTGCAAAGAGCCCCGACACTGAAGCCAAAGGACCTGAACTAGAAACTAGTTTCTCACCACCTGTGTAAACTTTGATCAAAGACTTATCCCCGGAAGGCCTCATTTTAATTTTTTTGTTGTTGTTTCTGTAAAATACAATAATTTCCCCTTCTCTCTATATATCTTAGGGGTTGTATGAAATTAAATAACATAATGGCTGGGAAATATTTTTCTGTCTCAAAAAAAATTTTTTTTTTAAATGTCACTGTGCCATCTTAGAGGGTCTACGAGAGGCTCGGGATGTCTCTGTTGACAGGCAGAACACTGAGAACCTGTTGGTGGGACTCTGAGAACATCAAGTGAAGGGTTCCTGTCTCAAGAGTCTTTGAGTTTAGGCCTTAGAGTCTCCCAGAGGCCTAAAGAGAAAAGCCTTCAGAACAACATGTTAGGATTTAGTGTTGGAAATATTATACCAGTTGGAGAAAGGAGATGTCCTCCCCTCCAAACTGACACTACAGACTTTAGAAGGGACAACAGGCTCCATATTTTATGTGTCTGTGATGAGCTCTAAGGTATCTGGTGTGTGGGCAAATTTAGATGTCACCTTCATGGGTGAGGTTCTAGAGCAGCGGTTCTCAACCTGTGGGTCGCGACCCCTTTGGGGGACGAACGACCCTTTCACAGAGGTCACTAAGACTATCAGAAAACAAAAAGATATTTACATTATGATTCATAACAGTAGCAAAATTACAGTTA